AGGCTAAATCGTCAGGTTTATTATGAACTGTGCCTCCAGGGGAATCGTGCTTACCCTGGGGTTTCGTGGATGAATCTTACGAGAATCATGACAATCGTAGTGATGGCCATTTCCAAGGCGTACAACTTCCACCAATCTTCGCCATTCCCGAGCAGTTGAGGCATTGCCAGGATGGTACCAACAACAAGAGCTGCTTGTAATAGCAAACCATTGAGCATCGATGTTACACCACGACACTCCGTCGGACTGAAATACTATGTTGCTATATACATCTTTGGTACTTTGTCTCTTGATCACCATATCTTTTCATTTGCTGTTACACCGTAGCTCCTCCCAAAAACTTGCTTGCGAAAAAGATCGAAGGGAAAACAAAAAAAAACAGGTGTCTAATTGCAAACTACTGCCTGAAAACGTGCGAGAGCAAAGCAACGAAAAGAGTCGGATGTTTAGGCAAGCTTTCAATTACTGACATGGAAAAAATCTCAGCTTTACGTTGCTTCTAGGTACGTTTCCCACCAACCGCTATGTAGCCTTCCTTCGATGTCCGGACACGACTTTTATGGATGTATTCTATTTTTTAAGTGGCCCAGATAATCCCGGCCTTCGATGTGAAAGTAAGAGATCACATTTCATCAGAGATTGGTTGGACCGAAGTATTTCGGCTACCGCAAAAGAGTTTTTGCTAATTTCCCTCTATTTCTGTGCCTCCCTACCCTAGCAGGCAATTTCAGCGGCGCATTAATGTCAAATTATTGCAAGATATTAGATGAGTCATAAGTCTTCGAACAATGAGATAGTGGTGACTTCTAGAGATCGTAACTCGGGGCAGAGATGACGAAAATGGACGCATTAGGCATCGCTAGATAGAGTATAAAAAGCTCTTCCAAATACATACTAACAATCACATCTGATCATTTCCTGCGCTTGAGCGTGAGGAGAGAAATTGTTAGGTCGGCGCGGCAGTCCATGTCATATTGCTTCAAAGCATGGTGTACCCATCGACCAAGTTTTCGCACCTTGCTGATTGACTTCAATCCTAACTGTGGACCGACTCCCCAAGAGTGACTGCCAGTCCACGAGTGGTTTGATACGGATCGGCTTCCAGCTGACTCCGCAGCACATCCAAATCTAACTTCATTCAGAGTCCCGGAGGTCTTCATCTTCGATGGAATAGTCGTCCGACGTGAATATGATGGTGTTTCCTGAAGTGAATTGCGAAGGCTTGAAATCATGGGGCATGATTGCAGGGAAGGAAACAATTAGATGTGTTCGTTAATATGTATTTGGAAGAGCTTTTCATACTCTACCTAACGATGCCACACGCGTCCATTTTCGTCTCCTCCTTCCCAAGTTATGATCACTAGAAGTCATCACTATCTCTTTGTCCGAGGACTTATGACTCAACCTAATAGTATGGGTACAGGGACACCTTTCGTTGGGAAAAGTAGAAACTAGAAGTTGAAGCTAGGTGCTATTGTTAGTTGTTTACTAAGTTTTTTCCGTGCATCATTGCAAATTGAAGGCCTCCATTATTTTTTTCAGGTAATTACTTGGGTGAGTTAAACAACGTGAAAAACTTATCGTAGTTTCGAAGCAATCGATTGGGAGAGCGGCGTTTTTTCTGAAACTACGAACTCAATTATCTTGCCCGGTGAGGAAAGTGTGCTAACCAGAGGCTCTCCGTTAGTCTCCACATTATGATTTATGCATTGAAGGCGATTTTTAAGTTGAAAAGAATAACTACCTGCATTCAGTGATGAAAATTGGTGCAGTGCCACAGGAGATAGTGATTCCTAAGCCAAGCAAGAAACGTGCAACGGAATAGACGAACGCGTCAGTTTGCTGTAAATATCGGTATGGTCAATTTGAAGTTTAGCGCTAACGTAGTCGTTTCCTAATTCTACTGTTCATTAAGGGGAAAGGAGAAACACTCCTGATTGCAGTTCATGATTTAGCTCTCTAGCTAATTTCGCTATGAATCATTCGAACGAAAGGATTATTCAACACCCAAACATACTTCATATTCTCTCAATTTCTAAGAAATATTTCTCAATAGAAGAGATTCTGAATTCCTTTGCGGCGTATATAAGCCTTCCAGTTTTATGTTATATGATTGCCTTTGCATGCCTCAATAAAGGCTTCATCTCGAGCTGCCTCCATCGAGGGGGTGGGGAAGCAGTTGCTTGCTTTCTGGATCAGTTGACCGGTGAGGGGTGGTGCGACCCTTCAGCCGTGCCAAAAACCCCTCCCCCTCGAATTATCCCTCCATGCCTGTCCCTGAGGTAATATTCGTTATTAAGAGGTAATGGAAAGGAGTAGTGTATTGACACGTCACAGGTGAGGACGGTCTGGAGAACGAATCCGGGATCAATACCTGCTGGCCAGCTTACCCTCCTTTCCCGGAGTTCCAATTGGGATTGTCTGATATCTTCTCCGCTCATGAGGAATGACAAAAACACTGAAATGTGATTCGGCTGGCCACCGCAACTCACTGTATAGGTCACGAACGCACTCGAAACGCTTTTACGACTCTGAATTTATGTCAAACGCGGGGCCCATCCCAGAAAAGATTGATCAGCTAGACAGGTTTTACAAGGTACTCTGAAAATGAGCGGAGGTGATGAAGGGGCAAGTGACACATTATCACACAAGCATGATCACGGCTTCAATTCCCTGTTTCATATCCGCCTAGGCAATCAAGCCTTCCATCAGCCCGTGGTCGATTGATAAGTACCAGACTCAACTGCGAGGATAAGAGCACTGAGCTGTACATCGGCGGCCCCGCAAGTCATTGTTTGGACCACGCACGCATTCAATCTGTCCGTCGAATGCGGAGGCGCATCCTTCAAACGGGATTGTTTAAAGCCCGAAGACTTTATTCTTTACTTTATACTTTTACCCTTAAAATAAGTTATTTACACGAAACATTCAAGCACTAACCGAATTGTGCTTAGGTACTCCTTACCTTAAGTGGCATGATTTCCCTAAATTTTTATTTCATATCATTGTGGAGGAACAAAAAGTCGTACATATGAGCAGGTCGAGGAACTCGATCCTCCAAATCAAGTAATTACATCAATGGAAAATGTGGTGCCCTCTACATTGCAGGCAGCTTACATCCGGATAACCCATAACCACTCTCAATGGCTGTTGCCATTCCGAGGGGTCAAAAGGAACCAGATGAGCTGAAAACTTACGTAAAAGCTCAATATCGTGAGTATACACGAGAAGATTTGAATGACGTGAGAAATCTGAAAATAGAACTGTTTTTCATCAGATATCAGTCCGATTTTTATCTCAAATAACACCTATAAAAGTTCCGCGACTTTTTAATCTGAACTATCAAAATACTCCACCTGAAGAGCCCTTTTGCGTCCAAACTTCTCGGCAAGGACTCGAATAAGAAATGCACCTGCTAAACATCCCCAGAAAAAGACCGAGATGATCAACGACCACCGCCCCTAAAAAAACAAATCATCTAAGTGGTCAGAAAGCAATCAAAATTGAATAACAACATCAAACATTTCCACGCATAAACGGCAGTCAGCCCTGCTCGAGATCAAACTCCATTTTGTTTACATCTTCTCAAAAAACACACCTCCAATTGCTCCCGTGACAATGATTCGTCATTATTCTGGTGATGTGAATCGTTCAGGAATTGAATAAATGCTTCTTGAGAAGGATTCGTGATGAGAAGCTGAAAGGTTGCGATTTTCGCGTGGTAACATTAAGATGATTGACTTTTGTTGGAATAAGAACCTGCCCTATGCTTTTATCAACAATAGGAGTAGTTCTAATAAAATAGAAATAGAAGAGTACGTAGTTTATGTTATTATTTAAGTTGTTTCCGGCGACAAAGAGAGAGAGTAAGAAAAAGATTAGAAAAAGATTATCGATAAAAGATCCCCTGGTTCGTTGATTCGTCATGGACTCTATTCTTAACAACTGACTTCATCATACTTTACCCTTTACAGAAACCAGTGAAAATGAACCGGCATGAACCAATTCTTCATGTTTCCCATCTGGACCAAAGCATTACTAGTCGTCATCTTAGGGACAAGGAGCATTTTTCCCAACAAAAAGATAGAAGAGACATTTATACATTGCGAAACCCGCAAGAAGATGCTGGTCAAAGAATCGGTTTGAGTTGACGGGGAATTCGTCTCAAAGGCTAAGTCCACGATAGAAATCACTTCTAAGATATCCAGCTAGACTGAATTTGTGGAACCCCCGTATGCCAGATGGGGCACTGTCATACGTGAAAACGGGTCAAGTAGGGCATTATAAAGGCTCAAACATTGTCTCGTAAGTATCTTCGGACGAGTTCTACCAACTTTGTAGAGGCTGCCCTTAGGGAGCCTTGTTTTTTCACGATTTCGGCGAATTTTCTCGCTTTCTTCACTACGGATGAACTATTTCCACCCTACACTACCGCTTTTCGACTAAAAAGGGCTACCTCAATTTATCGTGAACTATGCCTTTAAGTTCAACCGAAGTTTAACGGTTTCAGTACTGAATGACTCCAGGTATCGCCTCTATAGAGGCTTCTCTCGCATAGTTGGGCGAACTGGACCACCTTAATGTTGAAGCAAAAAAACGGTCAACGAAGCTAATGGGTATGTAGTACATGGGAGCTTTTTTCTCTCTGGGAGGAGCGGTTGCAACAAAAAAAATCCAAGCACTTCAACATTAGCGCTCATAACAATGATTTATTAGGTTGATGCATAATTATTGCGGATTTTTTCGCGGTTTTTTTTCTCCCGAAAGTGTTTGACTATTGAGTTCGGGCTTTTTCTAGAAATGATCTAGTTGATTTCCTCTACAAGAATATACTCAAAAAATCATCCGCATATTCGCGAAATTAGGCTTAACTACTTC